TCACAAAGATCACAGGACAAAGCTTAGTAATAGCCTGGTGGTCTCATAGTGCCTCGCAGGTGGAGACAGTCGCGCGTTTTGATAACCATCGGATGTTCTTCCATTTGCTACTGGTGAGTTGGTAGCATGAAATCTGGTGTTAGCAAGACCACACGCGAGGAGAGTGGTCAGCCAGTCCACAGTTTGCCCAAACGGTTGAAAGATTGGGCCAAACATTTTGGAGTACACTTGAATCAACAAACATTATTTTCTTTACTATGCATTGATTGCCTTTTCCCCTGTGCCGTCTCCTTTGACTCGCCCTCACACGCCAAAATCGAATGTGAGATAAGACTGTTGAAATTGAATATGACCACAAGAGCAGACCGACTTCGTCCCGTTCTTTTCAAATTTGGAGCGTCGACTTTTTGGTATGATTTGCATAACTTACTAGTGAAGCTGTGGGAGCAGGAGACTGTGCCAACAGATTTGAGTCATAGTCATGGTCCCACTTTTCTAGTGAGGTTAACATTCTGAATGCGGCAATGATAGAGGAATCAATCTGATCTCAGTCGTTTCTACTTTCTTACATCTGTTGTCCTCCATAGCTTTCCTGGCACCCGTGAAAGCCGGATTCGCGAGGAGCAAGCTAGGTTTCGTCGAAATCGATGTTCTGCGGATCACATTTTCATTTTAACTCGATTGTTTAACACAGTGCGCGCATAGTTCTCGCAGAGTGAGGGTTTATGGTAATCTGTCGCCGCTCTTCGGTTTGTAACAACGTTGTCCGCTGTCGCATTTCTTCTTCAACCTATCCATGGTCGAAGTCAAGGAAACGGCTTTCTCTAGTCACGACGTACAATGTGTGTAGAGGCTTCCTGATGATCGACTTGGAATATGCCGACGATATTACCCTAATCTAAGACAGTTCCCAAATGTGAAAGGCAGCACTAGACATATTGGTTGTCAATCGTTTGGGTCTTTACTTTGCACCCTCGAAATACAAGCTCCTCCAAAATTGGCAAAGATACCAGCACCTACGCTAACCTTTGGTGGTGATCAACTAGAAGTCATTTAGAAATTCAACTACTTATGCAGCAATCATCACCTGTGTAATAGAAGCTGAGGTTACGAACCGTATACGGTAAGGTCGAAATGCTTTTGACAAGCTCCGCCACCTGTGTCGCCAACATGACATCACTCTCGCTCTAAATGGTCGCGCTTACAATACAGCCTTCCGTTCAACCCTCCTGGATGGTTGTGGAACCTGGCTCTCGAAGTCTGCAGACATTAAGATCCTAGACACTTTCATCAATCACAGCCTTCCTAATTTGGCACATTTCTTGTGGTGAACACCACGTAAGAACTTATACTGTTAGGTATAATGTGTCACCTGTATGCCATAACGGCAATTCGCTCTCGTGCTAATACCACCAGTGGCACGCGGGCTGATTATACCGTGAGGATGCCCCCTCCCCCCAGGCCGTACCTTATATTTGGTGCAAGAAGAGCTAGTGAACTGTTCAGCACCATTATATCACGAACCAGGCACCGGTGGCTGGGCGACATGTTGCGCATGCCAGCCCACCGACTCCCGCGACGTGCATTGTTTGCGCTACGGGGGTGTTGATGGATGGAGGCGAAGGTATGCCAAGCGATGACTTTGACAGGAAGAATACAAATCCTGACTACGAAGTTTGCGTAGATTGGTGTTTCTCGACTTCCTCGCTGTGGTCCCGAATACTATGAACACGTTTGGTGGATGCACCCGTTGATATGGCAAATCGGCAGCCTCAGTGGCGTTTGTGTTGTGCATTTCTTTGTCCATCCCCACCAGATTTAGTTTCCACCTGCAACCACGATAGCATACCCGATGCACAATGTAATATCGTACTATATTTATTGTTTTTTAGTCTACATTCCTGGTGTTTTATATCAGCCTATTTTATTGCATCACATTGGCTTAGGTGCGCTTCTCACCCTCATCTATCGTCTATTTATAGTGATGATGATGTGTGTCCGACTGCGTTGGCGTTTTCTTGATCGGAGATTTGCGTTGATCGCGTCCAATTCAATGTGTCGATTGACTGAGTGCCATGCTTCTAAGAATTCTCTTGCCTACATCATATTCCCATCTGTTAGCATTTGTGCGTTTTCCTGGTCAACATGATGGCCAGCTTCATCCTCGTGTATAGAAACCATCGAATAGGGATCATGCGTTCGTATGACCCTCTTGTACTCTGTGATCCGTGTGGAAAGCTTTCTCGTCGTTTGTCCAATATCGTGTTTATCACATTCGTTGCAATTTCTCTGGGTTTGATTGCCTTACTTGATTTGGTCATTTGGTCTCGACAACAATCCTCACAGGGTCGCATTTGTTTCGTGTGCTACCACAATTCTGTTTGGTTGCAGTAATCTTGCTGCTAGTTCAGAGACATTATTAATGTGTGGAAACAGAGTCCGTGTATTCGTCTGTTCTGATCGTTGCTGAGGCGTTCTCCTCTTCAGGATTGTAATCAAGTTTCATGGATAACTGTTTTTTCGTAGCACGCGATACAGATGGTTTCCCTCCTTTTTTAATTCCACTGTGCTGTCATGTGGTTCCGCTTTCGTGAATAGGGTTCATAGAAATTAAAGCAAGAGCAAGGTATAAGCATTGCTAATCAGTTTCTCGACGAACTGCAAGGTATTATGTTTGATGACAATGAAATTATACCGTCATTCGATGCCACATCGATTTTACCAAGGAGACCATGATGGAATTACTCTGGTATCAACGGAGAATAACATAAAAAATGAGACTGGAACGTGTGTGGGAACTACTGAACCTCTGAATGGATACTTATTTCCCCTTTATTGGACACACATCTCAACAACTGTAGTGAACGCCAAAGTTGTCTGTTACCCATTGCAAGGCTCATTGCCGAGACAGTAATGCAATATTGGTACACAGTACTATGCCTCTGATCAACTCAAACCTTTGAATTCAATAAGTGGTCGATATGTTGTCGTAAAAATAACGAAATTAAGTACAGTGTACGCGTTATTTGATAAGTAATATATTCAGGGATCTCGATTCCACCATTGATTTGGTGCAAGATGACAACTTTAGCGGGATGTCTTTTTCTCAGAGCAGGGCACTTCTGCTTCAGACGTGTCGTTTCGTGGCTAAGCAGCAGTTTTAAGTGTGGCTATCAATTCCTGATTCGCGGAGTGACTATTGATCGTTTGCTGCTTTGAATGTTAGCTTTCTATTGGCATACATTTGTCGGCAAAGTAATCATATCTTTTCCCTGTCGATCTGATGCCTTTTGCTGACTTTACCTACAGAGCTTCTTACACACCCTCTAGCTCCAGGTGCTTGTTGATTGAGTTCAGTCCTGAATGCCAGGCCTTGATGAACTCACATGCCCTGTGGTTCGTTGCGCTCTCAAGTTTCTTGACGTTTTTCAGATCGAACTGATAATGCTCGGCATCCATATGTGTTGACATTAGCGATTTATAATCACGGTGGCGGATGGCCAGACTATGTTCGTGCAACCTTGTGTCTAATTCTCTTCCCGTCTGGACCACATAATAATCGTCACAATCTGTGTTGGAAATGCCCAGCTCGGAGAACAGGAAAACCCTCTCATTGACACCCCGAGCTATAGGGATTCTCAGGAATCTTCACCCAAGAAATTGTCATTCCTGGTTGTATTACTTCACAGGGCTGCCGACGGAACACTTCAAGCTTGTTTAGAGGCGAACCAGACGTATAAGGATAAATATTGGGCTACCACAGTAACCAACCGATACGCCACAAAATAAACTATATTGTGACTGTATTCAAGAGAGCGGACCATATGACAGCACAGTGGAATTAAAAAAGAAGGAGGGAAACCATCTGTATCGCGTGCTACGAAAAAACAGTTATCCATGAAACTTGATTACAATCCTGAAGAGGAGAACGCCTCAGCAACGATCAGAACAGACGAATACACGGACTCTGTTTCCACACATTAATAATGTCTCTGAACTAGCAGCAAGATTACTGCAACCAAACAGAATTGTGGTAGCACACGAAACAAATGCGACCCTGTGAGGATTGTTGTCGAGACCAAATGACCAAATCAAGTAAGGCAATCAAACCCAGAGAAATTGCAACGAATGTGATAAGCACGATATTGGACAAACGACGAGAAAGCTTTCCACACGGATCACAGAGTACAAGAGGGTCATACGAACGCATGATCCCTATTCGATGGTTTCTATACACGAGGATGAAGCTGGCCATCATGTTGACCAGGAAAACGCACAAATGCTAACAGATGGGAATATGATGTAGGCAAGAGAATTCTTAGAAGCATGGCACTCAGTCAATCGACACATTGAATTGGACGCGATCAACGCAAATCTACGACCAAGGGCATGGCAACACGGTCGAATTGGCCCAGTGGATGAGGATGCCATACGAGTTCAGACAGCATCTTAACCAGCAAAGGCAAACTGTCCATGGTCACGATGCATTGGTCGAAGAGGCCATTTTCATAAGTTGCCTATCCAAACAGCCAATGACGATGACCCATAAAATCGCACCTCCTTGACTACCCGGTTCACACATACTTACGTATCGCTCTGCATTGCCACAAACTAACGCACTGATGATGTCACCTCGACTGGTGACGAGACGTTCATAACCAAGTTTCGTAGCTCAGATAACAGTGCGTATAATGTATCCTTGCTCGGTATTCTGGTCCCCAATTTTTCTGATAACTACCAGTTCCGCGTGTTCTTTTACGCTACTTCGGCGGCTAGTCCGCAGCCACATTCTTACTCAGTCGTACTCTCATTTGCGCTGGACCCTCACGACTTATTTCACTGCTCTGGTCACCAGATAATCCTAATTGCCTCTAGGCAGAGATTCGTCTGAGAATTTAGTCAGCGTCAATTCCGACTGAAATCGTCTACCATCCTCTACTTGTCCTCATTCCCACTTCCTTTTCCTTCTTATTTTGCCTTTACCTTCGTTTACTTAACAGGGTTGTTAAATGAGTCCGATCAACAACATTCCTACGAATCACGAAAATGTGATGCACTTGCCTCTACGCAGCCCACGGCATCCACTAATGGTGATTCGATTGTCAAAGCAGAACGCATCGGTTCTAACGCAAATGGCTGCACGCAACAAGACGTCTCCTCTCAGAAAGTTGAACAGTTCCGGCGATTAGAGCCCATCGGTGAACCTTGGTATGTTGGACCCATGTCTCGCTCAGAGGCCGAAAGGCTCTTGAGATATGAAGGCGATTTTCTGGTCCGAGCAAGTCAGCATCAACTTGGGCAGTTTATTCTCAGTGGATTACAAGAGCACAAATGTCGCCACTTGTTGTTAGCGGATCCCAATGGACAGGTATGATTGCCCTGCTGTTTTCATGGTTGCCACTTTTTTCTGGTCGATGCAACTAAGGTCCAGCAGACCGCTCTCATATTCATAGGTCAACAGACAATCTTAAAAGCGCTGATTCACCTAAAGAACCATTAATTTTCTTTCGGCTTTGTTTCTCTTCTTCCGTGGGTTTCCCGCTTTCGCAGCAATTGACACAGCTGCATGGAAGCATAACTGCAAAAAATTAGCGAATTTGTTACTGATACACCACATCAAGCGTACTTTTCGCCTTCCAGCCTGTCAACTAGGGTGGTGTGTGTCTCTTCTGAGTTGGCGATTGCCGCACTGATTACGCCCTGTTTTCACTGAGCGTTCTCTTGCTTGTAAAGTCCACCTCATGCAGTAGCAACCACCAGCTCACTGACATCACAGCTCATAGCATCTGCGCAATTTATTATGCAAGAACAACGGCACATATTATGTTGTTTTTAGTTAATACGATGGTGGCCATTCACTTCTTGTGGTTGAGCCGCCACGTGGTAAGGATTAACCAAACTCTGATTCTCATACATTACTTCATGATGGCAGACGTGTTTACTGTTCCTATCCTCTAGTTGTCTCTTCACATCCCCCAGGTGCGAACCAGAGAACGCGTTTTTGACAGCATTCAACATCTAATCGACCATCACGTGCAAAATGGATTGCCAATCCGTTCTGCTGACAGTGAAATCCGATTAATATTCCCAGTTTCGGCCAACAGTTTGTACGAAGCTTGACGTTCCATGCGCTTTTCTTCTGCCTTGTGAGTTTCAATTCACCTTGTAATTTAATTTCATTGCTTCCCCTTAAGCTATTAAGGAGTGCAATTTGTCAATTTCTATGAGGCAACTTTTATCATTTCATATCATTATTTGCGGGTCATTTGCTTTCTCTTTCTTTGGTGGCGTTCCGAGAACCTTCCTCTTTTAATTCTCAACTCTGCCTTTTCACCCTTCCACCTATGGAGATGTGTGTTCCCCCCTCTCTGACCGGCGTATGTGATTATGCAGCACGCAACCGTCCGTCTGTTATCCTTGAACACGATCTCTGTTAACTGTGCTCTCAGACCCAAAGTGCGATGAATCCTTTCCGCTCGAATCTTGCTATCGGGACACTGAGAATAATAACCATATCGGTCGTATACAACGATGAAGAACTGAAAAAATACAGGAAACACGATTGGACTCAAAACCATTAGTGATGGCTCGTAGCCTTAAGGTAACAAATTTGTCTTGTAGTATGACGACGTGGGTTCGAACTTGCGTAGGGACCGGGCGACCATCGCAGCCCACGGGCAACCGGTGGTGGTTGCGCGGCATCGAAGCGTCGATGCTGCATACCAACGTGCTGCTGATGTCTTTTTATGACCACTCCTGACATATCAACTGCACCGCAGGACCATGGTTCCAAATCGGCATTTATCAAGCTGGCTAAGCTCTTCATCTTTTACTTCACCAAGCCATCGACTGTCCACTCTAAGGCCTTTTCCAACTGACGGTACCTTAGTTCGATGCGCATTTTCCTAACCTGCCCACAAGTATGCAAAGAATGTCTCTCCGGCATCTTTTACGGTTCATGCTCGGTAGCATTTCATGTACAGTATTAGGTGAGTTATTTCCAAAGGTTCTCAGATTACACTGCCGTGCTGTTCATCGATTGTTTAACACCTCACTGTCTCTGCCATTGATTAAGGCTTTGGCGAAGCTCAAACGATGTGCACATTATCCGCTCTGGCGGTTAAATATTTTTTTGTAATCTGTAACTAGTGACGTCTCGTCTCAGTCGTACGTAAACTAGTCTCCGTCTGTATCTATTCAAAATTGCCCCTAAAAGAGCTACACGCAGCCCCGAGAAAAGTCTAGCGTCTGCCTACACTACTTAGTCGGTTGGTTGCCGGGTAGAACTCCTATCTATATGAAACCGTCAGTTCGAAATAATCCAGAACCGTTTCTATCGCAGTTAAACAGCAAATGGCAGGTTGACCAACTTTTATGAATCCGACTTGTCGCGTCAGAATCTGCGAATGCCTCCACTTAGACCCAGAAATTCCGAATGTAGGGATCCCAGATTGATCATATGTTCTCAGTCTACCGTTCAACGTTTGTAAGCGTTCAAACATCAATGATAGACGGACCTCAACCTGTATAAGATTATCATCGCAATGACACTTGTCCTTGACGTATTGCGATTGTGTGCGTGACTCTGTGCTCCGTTGAACTACATTGTGCGCGCTATTTACAAGCGCTTGCTTTGCCACGTGTACCGGCTATTGGTCAGAAAACTCAATCACGCCTTTCGGATTTTTGGACCTTGGGGAGGAGGCTAGTTGGCACTCCTTTGTAACCTAGCTATAGATGGCAACAGTGTGCGGGCTAACTTCAATTAGTGAAGAACACCAGTGTTAGAAACTGTCTCTAACTTAATTGCTATCGTCACCTCCACCAGACAACCCCTGGTCACTCAGTGCAAATCCACTAAGTTCCACTTACAGTCCGGTGGGGCCGAGGGACTTACACACCGTATATTACCTAATGTAAACCGATTATTTTTGGACATTTTCTTGTATCTATAAAAAGCCTATACGAAATTTGAAAAAGCCACATACAAAATCCACCCAGGAATTCGCTGCACACTACTGTCCTTATCTCCTCTTAGCACCACCCGCTAGTGACGGACGGTATTCCAGAATGAGATTTGAAGTACCTATAACTGGATATGTTATTTTTTGTATAGAAAACTCTCGTTATATTACACATTTGACATTCACGCCGGATGGCATTTTGGAATTGAAAACCCTTAAACATTATGTTATGCCAGGTGATCCGGTGTCCAACACCCTTGACCATGAACTTCATTCCCGTACACTGCTCTACTGTGGTTCATGTGTATAAGCCCTCTATACGAGGCGGCTTGTCTGACACCCTCTCACCTTTCCCTATATTTTCGGTTGTCTTGCCTATTTGATCAGGTCAGTACACCGTCCGGTGCTGTGAAAGTTTGTTCTAACGGCCCTACGCCCCATTAGCCGCCATCCTAACACAGTGTGGTCACCACAAATGACCAGTAGTAGAGCAGGTTTCACTTGAACTCACTCGAGTGTGAGCAAGTATTGATGAGATCAAAATCGTGGAGAAACAATTTCGTATCCATTTCGCCGATTTTCTAGGGGTCGGCTAGTACAGGGACTTTGGACAAATTTGATGTTGCTAAGTTATACTTTCGGCTTATGTTCGGTAATAGACGGTACATTATTCTGGATCTTTCATCTTTCCGTGACAGCTGTCGGATACTTCCCAACGGAAATCTCTGGTCCCACCGCATATTCCTCCTAACATCAGAGCATTGGCTCAATGGCTGTCCCATTGAGTAGGCCTCATTAACTTTGCAAACAGCCCCCAGTCGACAGCTTTATATTGCCTGGTATGCATCCGTAATTGGGGCTTGTCCGTCGTTTTCTATCGTGTTGCATTACCGAATGAATATGACATGACTCTGTGATCACTACCAGGAAAGTGCTTTTCAATATCGGTGGATACTGATGAAATGCCTTTGAGGAGTATTAGGTCCATTATGTGATACCTTCTAATTGGAGGCTTGACATCTTGAATTCATGCGTATACGTGTAGACACGAAATCAGACTCCTTTATTTGGCATGCACATGGCTTGAGGTCCATGCTAACTCCAGCATGTTAAATTCCTCACCATTTATCTCGTGCTTGGCCGGTTCGTTTGCTATATGACCGAACAGATGTTGTGGTGCATTAATTTCTGTGTTCATCAACTTGTGCATTAACAAAAGCGGGGTCATCAAATCAATTATATGATGGACTATTGGTCGTGGATGTACGCACGACATTTGTTACCTATTTGGCGCAATCACCTCCAAGCTTGTACTTAAGACAATCAATGAATGTCCTATAACTCATTATGTGGTAGCAATTTAGTGGTGCGCGCCCGAACACACTGCACACCAGGATGCGTTTTGACCTTGTTTGCTCTCATCAGCTGAAAATAGCAGGTCTCGAATCCGGGACCATTGGAATAGTAACCGAAACCTCTACCTCTTTGGCTATCGGATCACGACGTGCATCGCTTGGCACAACGGTACATGACTAATTGGATGGTCATTTGAAGTACTCGTGTGAATAGATTGCGACGCAATCAGGAATGTCTTTCATTAACCCCGTTTCTTTTTGCATCAGAGAGATAAGTGAGCGTAGGTAGTGAAAGTTGTTTTTACTGGCACGTGCACTTAATAGCAGAATGTGCTTGGGTAGCAATTGGCGGGCAAGTTCACTGTTTGTTGAATAGTACACGGCTGTTTTGGTTGACAGGGGTCCGGCGACATGTACTTCGGGATTATCAAAAGTATTCGGACATATTAGAGAGTCATTTTGAAGCACCCATTGTGTAAATGGATTGCGACGCGCAATTTGTAGGCATGGAGAGTGAGTATGGAGATGACGCTATCGTGTCCACGGCGTAGGGACTGTTTGTCCCTTGTGATCTGTGGAATATCTTTAAATAATGAATGAGTTTAGGCACTGGGTATAACTTGTGACTGGCCTGGTATCAGGCCACACTTGTCATCTGGAAAAAGTGAATAAAGGGCGGGACCATGTAGTTGGTTTCTGTCGATGCAGCAGTGTTAGGAATGATTGTGAAACCATTCTCGCTTCCCCTAAACGATGCTCATTCCAACATGTTGGTTTATGGTCATCTGTGTTTGTATTTGATGGAACACATGTCAACATTGACCAGTTGTTCCTGTGATTATTTCGGTTTTGAAACAGTTAGTTCTGTTTAGTAATTTGGGTAGCGTATTAAGACGACGAAGAGTGGCAAATGCACGCGTTTTCTATTGTATCATCAGTCCTCTAATGCTAGTATTTATTCAGGACAGAGTACGATCAAACCTAGTTGGCGGCACGCGGCTCCGGATTTGCCTGTCATTGCGGCTTCCATCGGACAGCCACAGGACGCCTGCGCCTACGTAGGGACCCTGGCTGGTTTGCGCTTACCACCCACAGCTCCATCCATACATCCCATGTCTAGTGTAAACTCGAAGGAATAAGACCGGAAGGCATGTGGATGGAAGCCACGTTTTATCACTGGAGCCGAGCCACACTCCTTCAACAAGCAAATCAGAAGCATTCATGCCTAAAAGAGGAATCATGCGTACCAGACGAACACAATATTGTGGCCAGGCCGTAGCCCGTTCCACACTGGATGCGTGATACTACTATTTGAACCTATCACGGCCACGAGGACCGTGCACTCCGTCTCCTCCAGCAACGACCAACTGTCTCCTAGAGCCAGTGTAGACGAGGTGGTGGATATGAGACAGGTAGGCACCTTGTCAACTTACACATCAAGTGCAGCCAAGCCGGAAATGTCAAGCGCAACAGATAATACCTGAAATGCAAGAGAGAACGCGCATGCACACGTATAGACCAACTGTGACGACGATGCGGCATACATACCACATCAGCCCTCCTGTTTGGCCTGATTTAGTGAATTGAATCGGAAGCAGCGAACTCACCATGCGCTGTGCTGGTGATGACTACATGTTTGACCTATTCGCTGGTGGATTACTAAGGCAGCTTGGCTACTGCACTCGGTACCGCATATGCCACAGCACAACGCTTGACGTCGATGGGCTATCCACCATCTTCGCCTGTCGATTTCTCAACCGACGTTTCTTTTCCGTGTGCAATAGTGATTTCTCTTGCACCT